TCAATATTTGCAAGAGCAGGGGCTGAGGGAGCTCCAGCCAAACTGATCCCAGTGCCCGACTGAAAATGACATCGAGGTTTGCTTTAGAAAAATAATTATTGCACTTGGCCTTGCTTTTCATGAGTTACGACGATTTAAAAAGCTTAAATGATTGTACGGAAGAGATACAGGAAAGCTTTTCCTCTCTGCCTAATCCAGCGACAGTGAACTTTTAGAAAGTCTGGAAGAAGTTAATGAAAGGCAGAGCTGCCGGGAGGCTGCCCTGCTCCCTCATCGCGGCACGGCACGGCACGGCACGGCACGGGGCCTCTCCCACCTCGTCTGCTGTAACGGCTCCGCCAGCCCTCCAGGCATACGCTGTGGCAGTTTCAACTATGCTTAAACCCTCGTGGCAATTAGATTATACTAAATCCTGTGCAGAGAATGGCTAGGTCATGACTCTACAGCCTCACAAATGGCACCCATAACGGACCAGTTAAAATGCAGCTGGAAAAGCATTATCGTGTGGAAGACGGGCATCTTGGTGATGTTTTAGGGGTTAATTCTGAGTCAATCCTACACAACGAGTGGGTAAGGCACAGCAAAACTCCCACCAGGGTTTGCCAGGAGAATTTATTTGTACAGATAAGTGCTTTAGCTGCCGGTGAGACGCACGTTCTCCCGGTCCCTTGCTGTAGCATAAAAGGATGTATCAAAATAAAACCATACTAGAGAAAGGACTTCTTCCAGGACCTACACTTTGTGCAGATAACTTTATGCTGACAACCAGGACTCAGCATTTACCTCAGACCTAATCTTAGATGAGAATTTGTCACAAGACATCTCTAATAGTAACACTTTCCTTATTAGCTGAACAGCAAACACGAACTTTTTGTCCGTGTTCACAGCACGTATCAGCTGGACACCAGCTCTGAACACAATGAAATACGACGCAATTGGTGGTAGGTACCTTGTGAAATTAACCTTTAATTTTCATTGTTCAAAGTATCTTGAAAACAGAAACCCCTGGGTTTCTTGACCAGCAAGGCATGATAATTAAAATACGCTACCTGCAGTCATGCATAGCCAAAGGGAAAACAGCACGGAGCTCCAGTTCCAGATCAGGCCCTTCAGCCATACAGCCTCCATCTACTGGCACAAGCCAGTAAAATTCCTTTCAGGTGCCTCTCAGAGGGGAAAGAAACGCCAAAACCCCCAGACAATGTAACTTGGGACACCTCAAGGTCTAATTTAAAACTGTTGCCCCTACATCTATTACCTTTCCCTTGCATCTACAGCTAGTAACAGCTGCAGACACTCTTATTTATACACTGAAGGTGCCCAAGTTTCATTTACAGTTACATGAAATATGTATTTCAGTGCATGAAAAATCTGGGTGGCACTGGGTTTTAGCATCATCTCTCAAACACAGGGGACCTTCTGTCTCCTTTGTTTAACAAGCTGCCTGTAGCCAAGTACTAGACCTGGCCTTAATACATGATGGCAGAAAAAAACCCAAAACATAGTATCTGTGGTTAAATTAGAATCACAAGAGACCCTCGGCAGGATGTGGAAGAGCAAAGCTCAAGCCTAAGTGAAATGAATGGAAACATTCAACACAGCTGGATGATCCCAGAGAGAAAGAAATCACTTGGCTACTTTCAGATATCAGAAGCAGCAAGCACTGGTTTATTCTGTTTTGGTAGGCAAGCCCTGATCCCGGTAACATCAACAACCGATTCTAAGAGCCTTGCCAAGGAGGAAGGTAGTCAGTCCCGTGGGCCTGGCCAACCTTAGGTCCCCAGCATCCCACTCAGATGCCTGTGAATGAGCGAGTTCTCCAGTAACCTGTGTGAAATGGGCAAACCAGTAACAAAAGATCTGCATGAAAACCATGTCTTGGGGGACTGAGATACAGCTGGAGCTCCCTAGAGCACCGCACAACAAGCAGAGATCGTTGGAGACTGGACCACACTCCAGCAAGGCTGTTGCCACACTTGCTGAATGGTATCAACTCCTCTGGATTCCTTTCTTCACCTTTAAAAAAAGGCTTCTTTAATATTTTAGAAGTGTAGAATGCTATGCATGGGTGTGCAGAGGTGCGTATGTAGAGCGACAGGGCTAGAAACCACTGCCTGCAAGCAGTCCTGAAACAACACAGCTCTTCCCAGGTCAAGGTTTCGATTGTCTGCAGCAATCACTGGAGCTGGTCATTACCACTGGTGACACACACAGAAAAGAGGGGAAAAAAAGAAAAGATTAGAAAGAACCTGAGACAGCAGAACTGTTATAACCATCCTCCCAGAGGCCAAGAAGTGACCATATAAACACTGATGAGAATAAGAAGTATAGTGATATTTATCATCCTGGAAACATATTAATATAAAATGTATTAAAAAGAAGTCTCCTGGTTCACAGAACAGCTTTTGTTTTTCTTTAAAGCTGATTGTCACACTGAAGTGATATTAAAAACAATTCCACACCAATCAAACAACCTGCCTACAATACAGTTTTAAAAAAAATAATAAAAAAAATAGAAGTTGGCAGACTGAGCTCTACTTTGGATTTCAGCTCAAGTATGAATATGATTTCAATGAGACATGAGGGATAGAGTTCGGTCGGTTCTCAGAAGAGAAGCCGGGTATTTTTGAGAAGGCACGAGATATGTCACAGGGAGATAGCAGAACAGGAAGGAAAAAAAATGTACTAAATCAGTCTCCTTGTAAGCCTCAAAGACAAAATCTAGGGACCAGTGCCTCCTCCAAAAATAGGCCCAATATGTAAACAGATCAGTCCCTAGAGTTACTAACTTTAAATCAAGTAATTACTTGAACGAATACTGAAAGAGTAATTTCAAAGCAAAAGCTACCTTGCTGACAAACAGTAAGCACAAAATGGATGAGCTTCACAGTGCTCTGGTTTTACCTTATGGTGTTCTCAGTGATAACATTGCGGAGTTTTAAAATCAGTCTGACAATAAAATACAGTAAAAATAGTTTTGTGTAAGACATGACATCCAGCATATCGAATGACATTCCAGCAGCTCTTATTGTAAGATACAGCAACATAGCAGGCCAGAAGAAAAATCAGTTGCTGACTTTTAAGTGCATGCGCTTAATTATTTGTGTGGATAATCGACAGCAGACCCAGAACACGTTGAGGTGAAAGGCAAAGCTGCCCATGCCAAGCGGTGCTTGCTGCCCTGAAGCACTAAAGGGCAACGTAAATCCAGTGTTGTAGCCCCATCTTCCTGCTCATCTTTTACAGCGCCTGTCAGCAGTCAGGACAGTTCTCCAGCCCCAACAATCCTTCCCACCCCATCTCAAGGCATGAGCAGTTTGTTCACCTCAACCACATTGAAAAAGTAAATCTTAGGTCTTTACAAGACGCTTTCCCAACCAGCAACGTCCAGAGGTGTCAGATGTCCTCAGTCATTCCTCCCAGTCTTCCATTGCCCACTCGGGCATCTTGGAGCAATACTCAAACTGTGCTCCCTTATAGCGCAAGGCATGTAGGTACATCACCAGCTCCTTGGGAGATGGGTCCCGCCTTGTCATTTTACACTCCACGCATAAAGGGTCCTTCTCTTCTGAACTCTTTTCTCCCGTTTGCCTGTCCTGATTCTCACATGAACCGAGTTCTTTATTTTTTTCCAGTGTTTCCAGGTTGGTATCAGAGTTTAGTGGACAAGCTGCTATGTCACTTCTCTTGAGATCCTTAATGTCCTTCTCGGGATCCTTAGCGTCCTCAGCAGGGCAGGAGTTCTCATTTACTGGATCAGCCTGCACAGACTTTTTGCAGTCACTTGAATTACCACAGACTTTATTTTCAGCACTGGAGCTCAAGTCCTCCTCCAAAATACCCAAGATATCCAGGCTTTGTTTGGAACGATGCTCCTCTACTAGCGCCTTAAGGAGTTCTTCATCCGTTTTATCGATCTTGCCTCCTTTCCCCCTGTCGGGGCCCCAGGCTTCCATATTATAGATGGGATCGTTGACAATAGGATGCCCCAAATACTGCAAGTGGACCCGGATCTGGTGTGTGCGGCCAGTACGCGGGAGACATTTGACTACACTGGTCTTGCCGTTGTAACTGAGTCTCTGGAAGATGGTCTTGCAGAATTTTCCTTTGGGGTCCACGCGGCACACTCCCACTTTGTAAGAAACAACCAGTATGGGCTCTTCACAGACCACTTCGTGTTCTGGAAACTCCCCCACCACACGACAGACATACTCCTTTTCCAGCTACGGGGAGAGACAAGAGTAACTCTCAGAAAACAGAAGAGAAAACTCTCTCTGTCCCAATTACACCAGAGTCCCATCTTAGCTACTCCTCTCTTTCTCTTCAATGAAATACATTTGTAGGCAACATACTGCCAAAATTTGGCAGTACAACCAAACAGAAAAGGAGGTGGGTGTGGTGTAAAAATCAGCTATTAAACGCCAAATTTCTCTCATGCTTTCCCCAACTAGCTGGGAAATCAAGAATACAAAGGCCTGGCCTATTTTCTTCATATTAAATTCAAGAGCTATCTCTCAGTGAATTTCAGTTTACAGCCTTGAAGCAAATCCTGGAAGCTAGTATCCTAGAGCTACAGTTCTGTTTGGGTCAAGAGCCAATGGAAATATGAGAAAAACATATCAAACTTTTAAAATTGAAAAGTATTAGATGACTGACACATTCCCACTTAGAAATAAAACTGCCCTCTGCTTTGCACAATCGCAGTTAGTTTGCAGAGTCCCTCAGGCAAGGAGATCTCCTTCAATCTAACATTACCAAAATAAATTAAATTTTTAGTCTTTTTCCCTTTGTGCCTCTCATCCTTAATACAATAAGAACAGTGATGTGACCACAAGCTGTTTTGGGAACTTGTGCTCGTTTAGACCAAAAATTTGGCTTACTTTATACCTAACCTGTTTCAAGAAAATACCATGCAAGAGACTCCAAAAACTACTGCAGCCCTTAGCTCTCACCTGTCTCTCCCGAACCTGCTCATCAATCCTCTTGGATACCGCCACGGTCTTGGCAAACATAAGCACTCCCGAGGTCATGCGATCGAGTCGGTGAATGGTATGCAACTCCTTCAGATCATGTTCTTTGCCTAGGATGAAGATGACCGTGTTGTGACGAAACCTGCCGCAGGGGTGTACTGGCAAAGAAGAGGGTTTGTCCACAACCACAACCTCATCGTCCTCCACCAAGATCTGGATAGGCTGGGCAGTGACCGGCGGCTCATGGCGATGCACCGTATTCCTGAGAAAATCATTATTCTGCAAGAAAAACAGACAATTAGCGTGAATCCAGCCAGCATAACAACCCCATCTGGCTAGACACAATCGGGGCTTCATATTGTGGGGGCAAAAACGAAAGCCCCTTTGTCCTGGAACCCAGGTTTTAGCACAACTCTGCGTATCGCCGTTTGAATTCGATAACCTGCCTTAAGCGATACCTCCACACCTTGCCCATTCTCAGCAGGGTGAGCTGGAAGCTGTGGGGCACGCTGGCTCCGCGCAGGGCTGCTGGATCCGCACACTCCCGACCCCGATGGGGTAAGGTTTCCCTGGGAGACCCCATTTCCCCTTAAACACCGCAGACCCCAGCACCACCACGGGGTTATTCCACCCTACTGCTGGGGGCGATGCTCAGCGCCGGAGCCGAGCGGTGGTCTCCCACCCTGCCCCCTCACGGTGATGACAGGACACCTCCAGGGGCGCCCAGCAGTCCCCAGCCCCGAGTGGGAGGGTCCCCACCTTGAGCACGACGTCCAGGTCGCGGACGGGCTCCTCGTTGAGGCGGAGGCGGCCGGCGCGGGCAGCGGCGCGGTAGTAGGCGAGGGGCTGGGCGCGGAACTCGGTGCTGAAGACGTCCAGGAGGCTGCGGCCCACCCAGCG